TTCTGTGGTATATCATCATTAATATTTGCATAGTCATCACCCCTTACCATTCTTGTATATTATTACTTGTAAATGATTTTTAGAAATAGTTTGGCATTTTATAAATAAATTATTTTTACTTAAACTTTTGTTATACTCGTTATCACTACCGTGACAATATAATATAATATATGTATGAGTACATTTTGTGTAGAAATAGGATTAGTTGACTTTATAAGGTAAACTTATTCATACAGTTTGTATCCCTCGATAGCTCAGTTAGCAGAGCGGAGGATTGTAGATGTTACAACGGTGATCCTTAGGTCGCTGGTTCAAATCCGGCTCGAGGGAGTTTTTTATTTGTATTTTTATTGGCTGCCACGGCGAGCACGTGACCTCCCTGTGCGCGCGCATCCGTGACAGAGGCCGATGAGGAAAGACGGTCGTGACTATATATAGGGATAATAATAATAATAATATAATATAATTAATATAATATAACTAGCCGTGGATGTCACTCTTGTGAAACGTCCCGCTCCAAACTTTGTGTCTGAGAAGCGATATTTTTATAGAAAGACTAGCGGATGTGCCCGGCTTCGCCCGGGTTTTACCCGAGTAAAGGTTTGTATAACGAACATTTGTTAAAACAATTCTCTATAAACATATAAAATTTTGTATTTCCTAATTTTCTATATTACAAAATAATCGTTTTATCTAGTGAACATATTTTCCCGGTCCCTTGAAAAATACTCGATAAGTTGAATAAAATCATGGTCGTGAATCTCTCGATAAAGTGATCATTTTTTCCCGGTCCCTGTGTGCCGTGTCATCCCGAATTTTGTATTTCCTCGATAAAGTGAACATTTTTTACCGTTCCCTGTGAGCCGTGTCATCCTGAATTTTGTCTTTCCTAATTCTATACATTACAAAATCATCGACACGGGATATCATTTAATGTTGTCTAAAGGGGGTTAAGAGAGCAGTCTCTTTCAAATGGAAAATGCTTTAATTAAGCAGATGTTTAAAGTATAATATATGAGAGAGGCAATCTTACAGGTTGTCGACGCTGTAAAATCCCCAGAGAGAGTGTTTTTGTAGCATCATGCTGTGACTCACACGATGACCAAGGTCATCAGGAGCAGCAAACTAAGCCTATCTCCGTTTCAATGGTGGCGCTGCTTGCGAGTTAAATATACAAATCTGCAAATAACTCTAAGGATATTCAAGATATTCAAGAAATTATTTTTCGTAAACCTTTCCGGGGATACACCTAATAATATCCCAAAATTTCACGGCGATTGGATGTATGGTTTTTGAATCCATAGAGGACACACACACACACAGACAGACATACTTTGTCGCTACTTTGTCCAGGTTGGGCTCGGAGAAGCGGTAGAGGACCCGCTCATCGCCTGGTCCAGGACCCTCCAGCGCCGAGGTCTCCTACTTTTAGCCCCCTTGTAAATTTGTATATTATATATGTATATATTTAATTCTTTTTGTATATATTTTCTTCTCTCTCTCTCTTTGATATGTAACATTGTCTAGAAGACAATAAATAATGTTTAATTGTCAAATTGTCACACAGACAGACATTCAATTTTTTATATATATATATATAGATGATTTGGATTTTGTTTTCTGCTCGAATGAATGTTTTTCTGTTAGAATTTTGTTCCTGCGTACAAAATAATGAACTGGTTTCATCCGTGGTCTCTGCTTTTTGGAATTTTTCCCGATATAATTTTGTATCTGATAATCAAACATGATGCAGCAATATCATCATCATCATTTTCTGACTAAAAATATATAGTTTTAATAATCGATTTATATATATTTTTAAATAGCCTATCGTCTTCCTCGTATTTTTTTACCTATGTATGGAAATTTTGGTTTGAATTAGTCAACTACTGCGAATTTGTATACCGGACATTCAAACCAACAAACAAACAGACAAACATACAAACATTCATTTTTATATATATCAACATATATAGTCACGACCGTCTTTCCTCAATCAATCAATTCCTCATGTCACGGATGCGCGCGCATCATCATTATGATCATTATCATTATCTAATGATAATAATAATAATAATAATTATTATATTATTATTATTTTATTATTATCAACATATATAGTCACGACCGTCTTTCCTCAATAAATTCCTCATCGCTGTCACGGATGCGCGCGCATCATCATTATGATCATTATCATTATCTAATGCTTCTGTCTGTGTGAAGTTCACTGTGTGAAGTTCACGGATAGATTTTGGTCAGAATGGATAAAATGAAAAAAGTGTCAAGGAATGGGTATCGAGCCCACGACCTTCCGCTTACCGGGCAGATGCCATGACCACTAGGCTACCCTGGACATATTTTTCCATTCACATTTTTATTTTTATATTTTCAAGACACACACAGTTTGGGGCGGGACGTTTCACAAGAGAGACATCCACGGCGCCAATTTATAATTGTATCGAATAGTATTTTAATTAAAACATTTTAAAAATATATACGCACTCGGGTAAAACCCGGGCGTTGCCCGGGCCATTCGTCTAGTAGAGATATATGTATGAGTACATTTTGTGTAGAAATAGGATTAGTTGACTTTATAAGGTAAACTTATTCATACAGTTTGTATCCCTCGATAGCTCAGTTGGCAGAGCGGAGCACTGTAGATGTTACAACGGTGATCCTTAGGTCGCTGGTTCAAATCCAGCTCGAGGAAGTTTTATTTTTTTATTTTTATTGGCTGCCGGCGAGCACGTGACCTCCCTGTGCGCGCGCATCCGTGACAGAGGCCGATGAGGAAAGACGGTCGTGACTATATATAGGGATAATAATAATAATAATATAATATAATTAATATAATATAACTAGCCGTGGATGTCACTCTTGTGAAACGTCCCGCTCCAAACTTTGTGTCTGAGAAGCGATATTTTTATAGAAAGACTAGCGGATGTGCCCGGCTTCGCCCGGGTTTTACCCGAGTAAAGGTTTGTATAACGAACATTTGTTAAAACAATTCTCTATAAACATATAAAATTTTGTATTTCCTAATTTTCTATATTACAAAATAATCGTTTTATCTAGTGAACATATTTTCCCGGTCCCTTGAAAAATACTCGATAAGTTGAATAAAATCATGGTCGTGAATCTCTCGATAAAGTGATCATTTTTTCCCGGTCCCTGTGTGCCGTGTCATCCCGAATTTTGTATTTCCTCGATAAAGTGAACATTTTTTACCGTTCCCTGTGAGCCGTGTCATCCTGAATTTTGTCTTTCCTAATTCTATACATTACAAAATCATCGACACGGGATATCATTTAATGTTGTCTAAAGGGGGTTAAGAGAGCAGTCTCTTTCAAATGGAAAATGCTTTAATTAAGCAGATGTTTAAAGTATAATATATGAGAGAGGCAATCTTACAGGTTGTCGACGCTGTAAAATCCCCAGAGAGAGTGTTTTTGTAGCATCATGCTGTGACTCACACGATGACCAAGGTCATCAGGAGCAGCAAACTAAGCCTATCTCCGTTTCAATGGTGGCGCTGCTTGCGAGTTAAATATACAAATCTGCAAATAACTCTAAGGATATTCAAGATATTCAAGAAATTATTTTTCGTAAACCTTTCCGGGGATACACCTAATAATATCCCAAAATTTCACGGCGATTGGATGTATGGTTTTTGAATCCATAGAGGACACACACACACACAGACAGACATACTTTGTCGCTACTTTGTCCAGGTTGGGCTCGGAGAAGCGGTAGAGGACCCGCTCATCGCCTGGTCCAGGACCCTCCAGCGCCGAGGTCTCCTACTTTTAGCCCCCTTGTAAATTTGTATATTATATATGTATATATTTAATTCTTTTTGTATATATTTTCTTCTCTCTCTCTCTTTGATATGTAACATTGTCTAGAAGACAATAAATAATGTTTAATTGTCAAATTGTCACACAGACAGACATTCAATTTTTTATATATATATATATAGATGATTTGGATTTTGTTTTCTGCTCGAATGAATGTTTTTCTGTTAGAATTTTGTTCCTGCGTACAAAATAATGAACTGGTTTCATCCGTGGTCTCTGCTTTTTGGAATTTTTCCCGATATAATTTTGTATCTGATAATCAAACATGATGCAGCAATATCATCATCATCATTTTCTGACTAAAAATATATAGTTTTAATAATCGATTTATATATATTTTTAAATAGCCTATCGTCTTCCTCGTATTTTTTTACCTATGTATGGAAATTTTGGTTTGAATTAGTCAACTACTGCGAATTTGTATACCGGACATTCAAACCAACAAACAAACAGACAAACATACAAACATTCATTTTTATATATATCAACATATATAGTCACGACCGTCTTTCCTCAATCAATCAATTCCTCATGTCACGGATGCGCGCGCATCATCATTATGATCATTATCATTATCTAATGATAATAATAATAATAATAATTATTATATTATTATTATTTTATTATTATCAACATATATAGTCACGACCGTCTTTCCTCAATAAATTCCTCATCGCTGTCACGGATGCGCGCGCATCATCATTATGATCATTATCATTATCTAATGCTTCTGTCTGTGTGAAGTTCACTGTGTGAAGTTCACGGATAGATTTTGGTCAGAATGGATAAAATGAAAAAAGTGTCAAGGAATGGGTATCGAGCCCACGACCTTCCGCTTACCGGGCAGATGCCATGACCACTAGGCTACCCTGGACATATTTTTCCATTCACATTTTTATTTTTATATTTTCAAGACACACACAGTTTGGGGCGGGACGTTTCACAAGAGAGACATCCACGGCGCCAATTTATAATTGTATCGAATAGTATTTTAATTAAAACATTTTAAAAATATATACGCACTCGGGTAAAACCCGGGCGTTGCCCGGGCCATTCGTCTAGTAGAGATATATGTATGAGTACATTTTGTGTAGAAATAGGATTAGTTGACTTTATAAGGTAAACTTATTCATACAGTTTGTATCCCTCGATAGCTCAGTTGGCAGAGCGGAGCACTGTAGATGTTACAACGGTGATCCTTAGGTCGCTGGTTCAAATCCAGCTCGAGGAAGTTTTATTTTTTTATTTTTATTGGCTGCCGGCGAGCACGTGACCTCCCTGTGCGCGCGCATCCGTGACAGAGGCCGATGAGGAAAGACGGTCGTGACTATATATAGGGATATGTTAGCACGTTTTCTTTGAAGTTTCTTCTAGAAAGAACGAGCTGACTCAATTCGATTCAATTCGATTTATTTCACACAACAAAAGAGAATTACACTACGATTTAATGCGATTTAGTTGTATTTATAACACAAAAGAAAACAGAAGAAGAAGAAAAAAAAACAAAAAGAATGATGATAAGTTACAATAAAATTCTATGAATATGAATTATAATTAATTAATAAAATACAATAATAATAATAAAAAATAAAACCTAACATACTCCACCCCGGTGGACTAACTTAGTCCTCAGCAAAAGGTAATGGTACTATTTTAGAGACAGTTCTAGTAAGGTGTTCTTGGTGCTTGGTCTTCACCTCGACGACTCGAACTTTTCCGTCCGCTCCCGGAAAGACTTTGGTGATGCGACCAAGGCTCCAATACATTGCTGGTGGTGATATGGTATCCTTGATCAAGATGAGGTCACCTTCCTTAATGTTGGGTGAGGATTTTTGCCATTTTAGGCGTTGTTGCAAATTGTTGAGGTATTCTCGATTCCAACGTTTCCAAAATACATTTTTATTTTTTTTTATTTAGGCTCCAGCGATCAAGGTAGTTTATTGGTACATCATCATCATCATTAGATTCTGGAGGGGCAGTTAAGGGTCTCCCGATTAAGAAGTGTCCTGGTGTAAGAGGATTAAAATCGTCATTGGTAAATTTATATCTTCATAATATGAGGCCAATTGTAATTCTTATCATAATTTATTTAAATTTACAGCGAAACAAGCTTCGCCCAACTTTTATCTATGCAAATTTTGATTCGTGTGAAAATTGTGCAAATTATAGTTTGGCAGTGGATCTGGGTTATGTTGAGAATCTGAAATTCAAGATTCAGATTCAGTACAGAAGGCCAAAGCTTAGATGTATAATTTTGATGTTATTACTGATATCTGGCATAGAGCAAAACCCGGGACCTAGGCCCACTAGGCAAACTACGCTCGAGTCATGTACGGAAGGTGATATTCGACAATTGATTGGTGCAATCTCAAATAAAATGGATAACTGGGGGGATAAACTGATATCTGGCATAGAGCAAAACCCGGGACCTAGGCCCACTAGGCAAACTAGGCAAACTACGCTCGAGTCATGTATGGAAGGTGATATTCGACAATTGATTGGTGCAATCTCAAATAAAATGGATAACTGGGGAGATAAATTAGAGACAAGATTACTTTCTATAGAGCAAGGAGTTGATAAATTAAATCGACGTATACAACAACTGGAGAATACTATGGAAAACACGGTAAAATCTGTCTCGAAGAATTCTGAAAGGATCCAAGAAATTGAGAAAAGAATAGATTTCACGGAGATGAAAATGAGAGAAAGTAATTTAATTTTTTACGGAGTCGAAAAGAAAGAAAATGAAACAAGCGATGAATCTCTCGCAAAAATAAAACAGATAATTACGGATAATATGCAAATCTCCGAGAAAATTAACATCCTTAAATGTCATCGATTATCTAAAAGGCCGAGCGCACCCCTACTGGTTGAAATACCCAAATATGAAGACAGAATAAAATTATTTAGGAATGCATTCAAGCTTAAGCAATTAAGGATTTACATAAATAAGGATTACACCTTAAAAGTTAGAGAACAGCGTCGATTGTTGATTAATAAGAGAAAAGAACTTTTGGCTAAAGGAATCTCATCTAGACTTCGAGATAGCAAGTTGATTGTGGGAAGTACTGTTTACCAAGTTATAAATGATAAGATCATGAGTTCAGAAGGAACTGAGATATAGCAAACACTCAGAAAGGAACTGGAAGGATCACATCATATCTCTTTTTACAGGCAAGAAAATATCACCATCAATCACATATAGCTAATAGGAATGGAAAACTAAACTACTCGATTTAACAACTATTAAACCTTGGTCACAATTATGTAAATATTATGTATTGGGATTTTTCCAATTTATACGTTTTCCCTTTCATTAATTATTTAAAACAATTTGAAATATTTGCTATAACGGAAACTTAGTGCCAATTTGATCTAAAACTCGAGAATTTCCAGGTTTACCAATCACTTGCCAGAAAAATCTCGGGTCAGGGAAGAAGCTCTGAAGACATCATTGTGGGAATTTATATAAAAAATAAACACATACTGGACAATGTTGAAGAGAAAACTAATTGGATTTCGGTTACTTAAAATGAACCCAAGCATAGATTCATTGCTGACTTGTATAACTTTTACGTATCTACCTCCTAACGAACATCAACTAGAGAATATATATATCACGATCAAGATACACAATGGACTGGAGATAATTTATATGGTGAACTAAACATTCGCATTAACCACCTTGGAGACTTTCTTAACCTGCTGGATATCTCAACTTTATTGTCGCGAGATCTTTCCTCAAGAGATATAATAACATCTACCCATGATAATACCCTAGTTCCCCAGCAAGCCCTTTTTTGCTTCTCTCTTCCTTGACACGTTGTAAATAGCATTATTGTAACTATTGTATATACCCTCTTCTACTTGGAGAAGTTGTATAAGACCAAAGGGTCATAACAGGTACTTTTGTTGTTGTTAATACGGCTATTCTTGTATGTACCCTACATTTCTGTGCTTGGAGAATCCGTGTAAGACTGAATTGTCTTAATAAAGCTTTTTGTTGTTGTTGTTGTTGATTAAAATCGTCTGAACCTGAACTTGAGGACAAATAGGTCGCGAATTTAAACAAGCTTCTATTTGAGTTGTCAGAGTACTCAGCTCTTCAAATGTGAGTATCTGAGACTTTAAGCATCTGAGAAGATGGAATTTGAAAGATTTTATTCCAGCCTCCCAGATACCTCCGAAATTTGGGGCGGAAGGAGGTATAAAATGCCAGTTGATTCGTTCATTAGATATGAATTTTTGAATCGTTGAAGCTTTCAATATATCAAACTGCTCTCGGAGAATGTTGTTAGCTCCCCTAAAGTTGGTCCCGTTATCACTAAATATATCAGAAGGTTTTCCTCGACGTGAAATAAACCGATTGAGAGCTGCGAGGAAAGCCGCTGAAGATAGGTCTGATACAATTTCTATATGAATTGCTTTTGTGCAGAAACATACAAATAAAGCAACATATGATTTTAATTTTACTTTGGATCTTTTGATGTTTGGTTTCATTAAAAAAAAACGGTCCTGCAAAGTCGATTCCAGTTTTAGTGAACGGATTTGATTTCACAATTCGGTGCATAGGCAGATCTCCCATGATTTGCTTGGTAACTTGGCGTTTAGCCCTGAAACACACCATGCATTGGTGGATTAGTTTCTTGACCAAACTTCTGCCTGCAGGAATCCAATATCGTAATCGTAGTGCTGACATGGTCAGTTGAAGACCAGAATGTAAATGATACAGATGACACTGTCGCACTATTAATTCCGTGATAAAATGATCTCTTGGCAATATTATTGGATGCTTTTCATCAAATTGCAGATTTGAATGACGTAATCTTCCTCCAACCCGTAATAGTCCAGATTCATCAATGAAAGGATTCAAAGATAAAAGCCTTGAGTTAGTTGGTAAAGATTTCTTTTGTTTGCAACAGGTAATTTCTGATTGAAATTCAGAACTTTGAATGAAACGAATGATATTGTGAATTGAACTTGTTAATTCGCTTGAAGATAGATGTCCTTTCTTTCTTTCATTGAAAGAACATTGGACATTGAATACAAATCTATAAATCCATGCTGAAATTCTAACAAGTTCGTTTATATTTGAGTATTTGAAAATGAAGTCTGGGAAAAGAAGATTAGTGGAATGAAAAACAGAGAAAGTTTTTCGTCTTTCACCTGAAATTTCTTTCGGAAAATCATATTGAGTTTGAATTGGATCTTCAAAGTTCACATCCGAGAGCCAAGTTGGTCATCGCCACCAAAGAGAGTGATCCACCAGCTCTGAAGGAGTTATACCTCTGGAAGCGCAGTCTGCAGGATTATCTTTCGAAATGACATAATGCCAGGAAGAATGTAAAGTCAATCTTTGAACTTCAGCAATCTTATTTCCGACAAATGGTTTCCAATGTCTAGATTCAGATTTAATCCAGCTGAGAACAATTTTGGAATCAGTCCATAAAAATACTCTATCAATTAGTAAGCATAAAGAATTGCGAATAGTATTATATAAAGTTGCGAGAAGAAGAGCAGCGCACAGCTCCAGCCGTGGTATGGAAATCATTTTCAGAGGAGCTACCCTCGTCTTGGAAGCAATCAGAGAAACTTTCACTTGGCCCGATTTTAAATGAGATCTTATATAAAATACTGCCGCATATGCAACTTCTGAAGAGTCACAAAAACCATGAAGTTCAACAGAAAGTAAAGCTCCCCTGCACGAGAAGTATCTAGGAATTTGAATTTTATTTAATACGGAAAATTCCTTTCCGATTTTCTTCCATTGAGAGCACAAAGTATCAGGCAAGGGATCATCCCAATTCAACTTCTGTTTCCAAAGTGATTGAAGCAAAATTTTAAGACGAATAATAACTGGTGACAGCCAGCCTATAGGATCAAAGATTCTGGAGATGTGGGACAACAAATGTCTTTTAGAATTCGTTTGTTCTGGAATGTCATTAACAAGAATCTGAAAAATGTCCAAGGAAGGATTCCAACAAATACCAAGTATTTTGACACATGAATCACTCTCAAAATCCCAAAGATTATGCCTATCGTCAACCTGTTCTGATAATCCAGAAAGGACCTCTGGGACGTTTGATCTCCATTTCCTAAGAGAAAATCCGACTGAAGAAAGAAGATTATTGACTTCACGAATATGACATGTAGCTTCTTCAATTGTGTCTGCACCAGAAAGCAAGTCATCAACATAAAAATTGGTTTGTTCTATTTTTGAGGCCACTGGGA